AGTGTCTTTAAAAACAGAATACAGTCAAAAGGGTTAATCCGGACTCGTCGGGACTTCGGCGATTCCGGATTATCGATTTTTTTCGGATTATAGATCATCAGTTTAAATCTGGTAAAATGGCATGCAGAAATTATAAAATTAAAAATATGAAACCGTAATTTACGAAATAAAGAACAATTATGATCTAAAGGGTATCAAAATTTACAAAAAAAAAAAAAAGCTTAATATTTATTTGTTTACTTTATTAAACATTTCTTTCAATGTAAGTTGTTTAAGTTGCTTCGTTTTTTATGCGATAATACTTTCTCTTTAGTTTTATTAAACAGACATAATTTCTTGTTTAGTTACAAAGTTCCGCTGTTCAAGTCCTGTAATTGCTGTGTCGAGAATACCGACCAATTTGTCAATAGAAATTTTTTTGTTTTCAATAACCTATGTCACTTTCTTCGCTATCGGAAGCGAATTATAATGACGAGGCATTTGATTTAAATCATATCAAAGACGGAGTACATCGAGATGAAATACTACATTGAGTAATCAATTATAAGCCAAATAAAATAAAAACATCTGCCCTTAAGATAAGGATAGTGCTGACAAATCAACTTCCAATTCATTGCACGCGGCTGCGGCGTTAAAGATAAACAAAGTTTAGATAAACAAACGTTAAAGTTTATATAAACAAAGAATATGCCTTTATCCATTTTTTGCAGCAATTCCATTTTTTTGTTTAATGGATTCCGAAAGATACTTTCGCTTTGTATATCCTTTACATATTAGTAAATATATATCGGAAATTCTATTTGACATAATCGAAAGTTCAAGCTTACTTTTATAAAATTGCTCTAACAGTCTGCAAAAAATAATAATCCGGATCCAATTCAAAGATTAAGGAACAACGCAATCTGCAACATTAACTGAAATAGATAATTAGATTATTTTAGCTTAGCTTATCCCGTCCGTTACACATTAAACGCGCATTCGTAAACGTATTTTGCGCACGCGCACGCGCGAATTCGCAGCGGTAAAGGTCTTACGCGCATGCGTCAACGCGACGCATGCGCAGAAAGATTGTAGCTTTGATGTCCGGATTATAGATCATTCCGGATTATGGGTGTCCGAATTAACGACTTTTGACTGTATACCTCAACATTAATGATTTGCTTGTGCAGTGCTGCCATCTATTATTCATAAAAGATATTAAAAGTAAGCATTAGTGTAGTTTTCGTGATATTTATCGATTATTTTCAGTGTCTAAAGAGGGAATATTTTTGGTGTGTTCACACCGAACACACTGCGCCGGAAAGAGTTAATAATCGCTTGCTGCTACAGAAACAACGCAATGCCAAAATTAAATTCATAAAAATCTCCTTACTGCTTGCAAAAAAGCAAAGTTAATAATATAATTTTTCTCATCTTTTTAAAGCATATTCTATGAGAACTCTTATTATATATCTTAATTTGCACTGAAAAAAATTTTTTACCTCTATTTTTCAGGTGAAAATTTTAATGGTACAGAATGCTTATTATTTTTAATGTAGGTATGTTAATTTTCACCTGATGCTGCAGAAATAATAAAGCTGTATATTTAAAATAATAAAGCTCTATAAAGCTAGATATATTACCATATTTACTCGCACATTTTCCGTTCTTTTTTTTTTTTTTTTTTTTTTTTTTTTTTACTAATTTTATGAAAACAGAGAGGGGAAAATTATGGGAAAAATGAAATCTGAAAGGATTTGGTTATTGCTGCTGGAACTGCTATCTATGTCATCTGGTACAGTTTGCAAGTCGACACCATCATAACCAGTGTTCCAACACGTAGGACCATCATGAACATTAGATATCCCCATTTTCTTGAAGCTCTTCATTGTTATTACTTCATCAATCAGAGCCCATGCATACAAAATCCACAAAGAAATTAATTAGTGATATGAAAACAATCACTGCAAGGATCAATGCACTTTAAAACATATGGAAGCTTGCTTTCTGAATGCCTTGCGGAAGGGCAAAATTTTGAGAATACTTAAAAAATCTTCAGATAAATTATTATTTATTATTTGTTTATTTTGTGAGACATTGTCTTGAAATATTTTATTGTCACTATCAATTATAATAATATATATTGTCTTAAAATATTTGATAAAAGTGCAACTATAATACAATATAACAACATTTCTTTATTCTGAGACACTTTTAAAACATTTGATAACTGTTATGGTACATGATAGAAAACAATTAAAATATTCCATAACAATATTTTCATTTATGTAATAAATTTACATAATGTTTCATTATTTAGAGTAATAATAAAAATATTCCATATATACTAAGTGGTGATTTATGGAAAAAATAACATATCAAAAGTAAGTAATACATGTAGATCATGAAAACGAAAATGAATGATGAGATGTCATCAATGAAAATGTTCCTTTCATAAAAATATCTGAGATGAATTTATGAATTTAAATGAATATGTATAAACAAAAGAATATAAATTTAACATTTCAAAAAGTTGAATGGAAAGCATTAGTACCATATGTTTTCAGATTAAGTAGGTAATAATCCTTTACATTCTTGAATATATTCAACTGAAATAACATACAAGATAGAACATCACATTTTTCTTAAGTGAAAATGATATGTTCATTTGGTCACAAAATAATATGATAGCAATATCACATTAAATTATTTCTCATAATTATGAACTTGTTATGTTGTGAACAGAGCCATAGCTGGGGTTTTCAGCACCCATGGACAACTGAAGATTTGGTGCCCCTTTCTGCATGCCAAGAATGGAAAACATTTTATTCTAAAATTTTGTAACATCAACTTGATGCCCACTGGATGCTGTGCCCAGGGACAGATGTCCTTCCTTGCCATACCCTAGCTATGCCACTGGTTGTGAGATGCTTTGAGACAGTACACCACAGCTCTATACCTTAAGTAGAAGTTCTGTGAAAGCTTCCCTGATAAAAATTACACCATGGATACTCACCATTAATTGCTAAAATTTGAATTAATATTTCTATTAAAATTTTTATTCTCAGCTAATTAAAATGACACAATTAATTTTCAAGTTTCTTTTGTTTCATCTGAAAGTTATTTACATTTCAAGCATTTTTAATAAAATGCACAACAAAGTAATGCTTAAACTTATTTTCTAAAATCCTTGATTAGTCTTTGAATTTAATCTTAAAATTGTTTCTTGAATAAAGATTGAATTATTAACTACATTTTTATTGAATGCTTTCTTCTGCTTTTGTAAATTTAATCTGGACAGTCGCTTCATTAGCATTTTAGAAAACTCTAATGATACAGCCCTAAAATAAAATTATATATATGTCATAAATGAGAAAAATAACACAGCATTTTAAATAAATTCTTTAGAAACAGAATTGCACTAAAATATGTAAAAAAAAAATTACCACCTGTTTAGAAATATATCATTTAAAATATTCAGCATAACATATTTTGGGAATAAAATTGTGAATTAAATTCATTTGGGAAATCACATTAGTAAACTATAGAAAAATCTGTACAAAAACTGTGACTTCTAGAAAATGTAACTGTTAATCCCAAAAAAAGTGGTATTGAATATAATGTCCTATTTAATTTATTATATGCCTAGGATGTGAATTTATCTGACCTCCTTCGCATCAAAACAACAGAATCTTTTAATTCAGGGTGTTCAGGATGTTGCCAGTTATTGTGATGATTTGAAAAAGATGCTCTTCTTTTTCTTTTATTTTGATCTAAGCATTTTGAAACAACTTTTTCCAGATTTAAAAACGGGACTTCAAAGGCTAGGGAGAAGAGAAATGCTAGTCCAAATGTTACACACAAATGCCCTAAGTATAGATAAACCTAAAATGAAAAAATATCATTAATTTATTTGTTTTTTGCATTTTTTTCTACACAATATGTAGATACAGTAGAATTTTGATAATCAATACACTCTAGCATTAAACATTATACAGATTAGTGAATTTTATGGGTTATAGGTCACGTCTTTCTGAAATTTGTTACATTATGCTCCTCCTAATTTTTACATTAAAATTGGATTGTTTGCACACAAATAACTAACTTAAACATACTCAATAATTTAATCAAGATTTATTGAATATTATAATTTTAAAGAAAAACATAGTGGAGATGTAAGATAGGTAAATTTTTTTAAAAAGTAAAAAATGCCTTTTGTAAAAATCCACTTATATAAAATTTTATGTAAAAAAAGTAAAACAAAAATTGCATATTCACCAATGAAATTACTTTCGTGCTCTTAAATGACAGAAAAGTTTAAAAACATAAACTGTTTACAAAACTCCCAACAAAAAAATAACAGTAAGGAATGCTATAAATTAATTTGCACAGTAACTCTACACTCCATGCATGTGCAAATACATTAATAATGCTACAAAAAGTGATAGAATTAAAATTATTAAAAGAAAATATTTGTTATTTTGCCATTTTCTTTACCATATTTGCCATTTTTAATGCAAAAAGTCTTCATAAGTACTGTTTTCAAGACATTTACCTTCAATGTAAACATGCTTGGTTGTTGCATAGAATGTAAATAAATCAAACCAGTTATAGCATGCATTAAAATTTAAAAGAAGCATTTGAAAAGTTGTGGACAAACTCTTGATACTTGTTGCATAACTTTAAAATTAATATCAAAAGATAGCAGAGCATGCACCAAAATGTAGACATTAAACTCAAAGAAACATTTGCTACGATTTACAATACATGTTTATCTTAAAGGGAGAATGGCACAGAAAATGCTAAATAATTTCAGAAATAAAACACATGTATTTCTTAATCAAACCAATGTTATAAATATAGTGCATTTTGTTAAAAAAAATTTTTCATATACATATAATAAAAATTGCTATTAAATTTGCCATGTTGAATATTTTGAAAATCTAAATTCTGTTTATTTACATTCAAATCTGAACACATATTTCAGGCATTCACAGATAAAGTACTCAAAGATTATTGAAATTTTACTGCCTAAATAAAGATTATAATATACAAATGATATTTTACGTACCAGAACATATTGACTAAAATAGAATGGGGCTCTCACATAACTAGCATAAAGATACATCAGTAACGGATGTATTAAATAAGCGAGGTATGAAAGCCGACTCAGAGGTATGAAGCCGTGCCATGAGAGAATATCATTTACGATACCTGAAAATCAGAAGACATAAATCAAAACAGACATTATATTTATTTTTCTCTGAATTGAATTTTTACACTATCAAAAACTTTTTTCCTAAGCTTGCAAATCTGTTACTTTTGTAATGTTTCAAAATGTTTTGCAGTAATCCTATGTTGTTTTCATGTTCTAATTATCTGACAAAACAATCAGACAACCACAGAAGGAGAAGCATGGAATTATCATTTGTATAAGGTAAACAGCATAGATTAGTTTGGAATGACACAAAGAAATAAATAAAGATATACACAGACAAATGTAGCAGATATCTGAGAATAATTTAGGAACTCTGAAAGAGGTAAATAAATAAGATGAAGTTAGGAATAAATTCAGTATGGTAACCTCGATTATCTGAAATGAGAAAAGTGTAAACTGAAAATTTTATGAGATTATTTCCAAGCTCTGTTTAGATTTTAAAAAACAAAAACATGTTGTGCATTATTAATTCCTACTACTATTAGCTCACACTCTCCCTATATCATGTTCAAATTTTCAATCATTAATAAAATACTTTTTATTAATCCACTCAAGTTCAAATATATGTTTTTAAACTTGCAGTGGATAACACTTGATGTTAATACAAACAATGTTAATAATGTTAAAAAATTAAAATAAATAAAAAATTTTAATAATGTTAATAAAAAGTAACTAAAAGAAAATTTTTCTTTGTTAACCTAAATAGGAATTGACTTAATTTTTTTAAATATTACTTGTTATTGTGCAAAAACATGTTTATTTTAGACAACATGGACATACATGAGAATTTACATGCATAGAACAGTATGTGTTTGATTAGCTTTCATGATCTAGCCCATGTGTATGACTTCTCATTTTTTACACCATTTTTATTATGCATAGTGCATTTTTATTATGCTGATTTTCAGAGTTTGTATTTAACTTGTGCTTCTTAAATATGGTTTAAAAAAATCCATTATCTATTCTCAAACTTTTCCTCATATTTCCTAAGTATAATGAAATTTTTTTGGCTATTCAAGGCTAAATGTATCTTGGAATATATATTTTGGAAGAATTGTTCAGGATTGAGAATACTAATATAAAATAACAAATTCTGACAAATGATTAAATTACTGAAAACATCACAACAGGGGAAAAAAATAATGGTCTTAAGACAGATGATAGAGATGAAAAGGAAGCAAATGAAACTGAATTCTTTCTGAGGCATGCAATACATTTCAACAAACAGTATGAAAAACAAGCCAAAAGCAATTTAAAGGGTGTGCTAATTCTGCAGGCATTACATAACTTGGTAAATTCCAAACTTGAGTCATACAAAGCTACATAGCATTTAGTTTTAATATCATTTTTACATTTTGTATTATTGTACTGCACTTATATTGTGCTAATTAAATTTGAAATTAATGCAATATTTTATATTTATTTCATTATTATGACTGAAGAATGCAGTTGGATCTCAGTTCAACATTTAACAATTCTTATTTAATAAAAAGAAAGCAACTATTGCCAAAGTGATCATTTATAAGGTCATTGTTTAAAATTCTCAAGTATTTAAATCACCTCATCTGTTTTAAGTTGTTTGGATAATCAAGGTTCTATTGTAATTATTTAAATATGCCAGAAATTAAAAGAAAGTTATTTTAGTACTAGTACAAAACTTAATTGCTAAATTTATTCTGCGATTTTACATAAATCATAAATTTTCATCATTCATGTGACAACTATATCAAATTTAATTAAAATATTTTGTGTGCTTATTTTAAACCTATTAGTTTAATTTTAAATGTAGGTAGGTGTGTACTTAGGATTAAATTCATGTTCAATTAATTATATATTACAAGATAACATAAAAATTTCTTGTTGTGATTAATATAAATGTGATATTTTAATATCAATAAACATGAAGCAAACTAAATTAATGTTTATACAATCTGTATGGGCCAAAAACATTAAAGAGATGCAAATTTTATTAAGAAGCAAGCTTGAAATTTCTTTGTTATAAATATACCTCATCAAAAAATAAAGAGCATTTGATTAAAATGCTTTTATCTCTCTGACCATTTAAAATTTTCCACATTATAGCTATTTTTATGATGGACTTTTTCATATCTTTTTCTCCATTAGATTTACTGAATTAAAATTTTTTTTTCTTATTTTCCACCCCTTAAAGGGAAATGAATATAAATAGATTAATTTTACTAATTTGGTAGTTTATATTCTTTGTTGAATAAATATGTATATTGATTTGTTGGTTTGAGCCCCTTTTTTTTTTATAGTTAAATATAGTTTCAATTTCCTATAATACCTACTTAATTCACAAAATATAAATAAAAATAAATTTACTATTGATTAGCTTATATTTTTAAAGTAAATGTTTTTTTTTTTTTTTTTTTTTTTTTTTTTTTTTTTTTTTTATTTTAGTTGCTGTTTAAAATAAAAAAAAAAAGATTAAATAGACTATAGAAATTACTTGCCAGCAGCAATTAACTAAGATTACATCTACATATGTTGATTTACATATTAGAAATATATAAACAACATATATAGATGTGCTGGATTACATGTATATAGTTCCTACCAGTTATTAAAAATCACTTCCGTTCCAAACATATTTGAGTTTTAATTTAGAAGTCAAACAACAAAAATTAGCGTTATATTTTCAAATTCACTTTTAAACATTAAAGCTCTGTAAAACAGACCAGTTTCATTTTTGTTATAAATTTTGTGTGGTTTGTATTCTTTTAGAAGATACCTTGATACTGTCATATTTTTACAGGAATGCTGCTGCCTAAGCAGTACTTTCCTCTTCGATAAAAGAGCTCTACCATGAGCATGATGATTTATGTTCTTGATGGAATTCCCATTGCAGTTGTTTTTGATGTTGAACAGAAGAGGAGTGTAACATTTGTATCCCAGAAAAACATGATATGACAGGTAGAAGGTGAAGCAGCAAGAAATACAATGTTGTTAAAACAAATAGATGGTGCTCGTGGGACTATCTTTTGACAATAAACATGGTGTTTGGGAAATCGCATTTTAACTGCTGTTTCTCTTCCACCACTTTTACCAAATATATTATAATCTTTCAGCTATTTACCCTTTACTTTCAGGCTTAAAATCATTTGATTTAGGCATATTCAACATGTTGCAAGTCACGCACACAGCAAATAAAAAATGTTTCGAACAGTAATTTGTTTAAATTAAAAATTTCTGTTGCTAGCCAGCAGATAGATTGCACTTTGTCTGTCAAGCGGACCGGTCACTTCATAATTATTATAGACTTAATCAATGTTTTTTCTCTTCTTTTTTCTTCAGCCTACATCCCCTTCCCCGTTTCAATCAGACTGATAATGCAATGAAGCATTTCCTGATGTTTTCTGAGAAAACCCTGCAAACTTAATGTGCGTATGCACTTTCATATCCTATCAGCTGCTGTTTGAGAAAGGAAATGTAGTGCTCACATTTCCTTATGGTGCTTAAGTGAAAACTGGGAAACACTTACTCAGTTACAATCAAATAACTTGTTTCCACTACCTTTAGAGGACTGCTTTTGTTAATCATAAGATAAAAAGGTATTCTGTAAAAGATATCCTGTATCTAGAAAAGGTATTCTGTTGTTCTCAATTCTAGTCCAAATAAAGAGATCTAAAGTGTCTGACAGGGACTAAGGAAGGGTATCCAACGTTTCCAGAGAGTCTAGTTTCTAACTACACTGGTTAAAATCTCTGCTAAGCCTGCTAAAATATCTGCTTATTGAAGCACTGCAAAACTGAAAGTTAAATGAATTAACTTTATCAGCTACAAACAGTTTATTCTGAATCTGAAAGATCAGTCTTTTGCCAGTTTGAAAGCAGTGGAGATGAGTTTAACAAACAGCAGTTTTCCTATCTATTAATATATATTTGTTTTAGTTTGTCAAAATTTGGACATAATAAGCAGCTGAAATTATTAGCCATTGAGTTTAATAATCAGCGGGTACTGTATATGTTGTTTAAAATTATTATTTACAGCTATATGATGAAAACTGACCTAACTGTCTTAAATAAATATTTATATAATTCCTTGGATTGGATGAGAAATTTCAGTAATTCTCAAATTGGTAAGCTGGATGATGATGATAGTAGTTTATGTTTATTTAACAATAGATATTTTTCTTAATGGCAACTGATTTTGTCCACCAACATATTTAACAGAGTTGTCTTTAAATTTTTCATAGTAAAAAAATTAAATCATTATGAAAAATCTGTATAATAATAAATATAGTAATACCTCCTCTTCCAGAATAACAAATAATAGTTAGCCATGCTATTCCTAGAGCCCAAACAGTTCTACTTGTAGTTGCATATGCAACAGACACTTCCCAGTCTGGTAAATCACCACTGTTCCAGTTCCACGTTCCATATACAACAAGTATGCAGCAAATAGTAGAAGCTGTCCAGCCACATACTTGAACACACTGGAAAGAAAAAGGAAAAGGTATAATTTAATATTTCAGAAGAAAAATTGACAGTAGCACCAAAAATCAAAGTTAAAAATTTAAGATGAAAGATAAACTAAAGTAATTGAGAAAAATGTATGTTTATATGAAACTAAAATCACCGAGAAAAAATTGTGTATGTGTGTATATATACATAAACATATATTGTATGATTTTAAATTCACTTAGTGCGAAATCAAGTTATTCTACTACTTGCGCAATTGCTGCAAAGTAAGTTAATAATAATTTATTTACTAAAGTAATATTGACTATATTATCTCCTAAGATTAATTTTAGTAGAATGATCTTAAAAGAGTGAATATATAATTTGTAAGTTCACTTTCGAAAATTGTTTTAATGTAACTTGAATGTAAATTGTTAAAAATGTTCAACGGGGACTTGAATTAAATAATGAATAACAAAATTTCAATTGTAAAAAGAAATAAATTAAAAGCAAGTAATTAAATTAAATGCAAGTAATCATTGCCAATGATCAGAAATTAGTTGACTTTTCAAGGGGAACAAACCAACTCCTATTCAATGAACAATAATTAAGAAATAAATACGAAAGTGTTTCGTCCTATACTTGAGCAATAAGGCGATGCCAATCCGGTAGTTCAAGCCAGGCCAAACATTTCCATGAATAGAAGGGATCAAGAAACAATGCAGAGAAACAAAGAACTCATTCCGATTAAGCATTTTAGCCAATTCAATTTTGAGTGAAAAGCAATTTATTGAAGGGAACTAACTTGTTCTTCTATAGAGCTTACATCTTAGCATCACCACAGTCTTCTGTCACTTTCTTGTGTATGAGTCCAGTTGAGTTGGACTTGCAAGTATTGCAACTGAAGATGCATTCAATATTCTTATTAAATCAATTTCTATCATAAATTATGACTTAATATGCAGAATGATTCTTGACAATTTTTGCTGTGGAAAGAACTTGATATCCGGTAACATATGACAAATCAATATCCAGTAAAAGAACTGTTATAAATAAGATGGAAATAAGTATAGCAATAAAGTGTTTTTCTGGTTGATAAATAATTACTCTTTGATATTGAGAACTTCAAGATCCATATGTTTACCTATGTGCTACTCATCACAACATCAAGAGCATATCCCAGTTTCCACGTTTATTTCTTTATGGATGACAGATGTAAATCTGTCTTGTTATTTGGAATGGATATTTATCAGCCATCAGCAGATGGTTAAGGATATTACTGCTCATTCTTAGAGAACATGTTGGTTGAAATGTACATGCAGAGTGAAATTATAACTCATAAGCAATTGTCTGCTAGATTACCAAATATAATTCCATAGGGCATGTAGTCATGTTAGGTGTGCTTAGGAAAAGCCTCCAGTGGGATAGTATACTGTAAGATGCTTTTTGACCTTGGGCCTTTCTTTAGTTTAGCTTTGATTTGCCTTTCTCCAGGAAATAAAAATTATTAAAAAAAATAATATCATTGCTAACATGGCCTGTTATAGTGAAGTCTGCATTGTTGAATATTGTAAGAATTCTTTGCAATTGTGTAAAATATTTGCACAAAATCATTCTACTTTCTCATTACAATTTTAATTTTATGACTAAAATAACACAATCCAAAATGGAAAAAGAATCACATCAAAAATGTTATTTTAAATTCTAAACTTACTTTTGAAATAGATATTTTTTGTTTTGCTGCTAAAAGAAAGCCAGTAGCCATTCCAATACAATACGATGCATAATGTGCATAAGGCTTATATCCCACAGTATCCAAATATTCATTAATATCTCTGAAAGATAAGATACATACAGAATATGCATATCATATTTAAAGGCCAAAATGTATATACTACATATATTAAGGTTGCTGTTTACTATCATTAAACATGAATTATAAATTTAAGTAAATTAGACCATAACAAAGTTATAATGCATTATAGGATTAAAAAGACAAATATAAAATATGGCCTATAATAATAAATAATTTAAAACAGGGAACTCTTACAATCTATGCCTAAAAAGTGTAATTATATCTAAAGAATGAACTTACAGCTTAGATCTGAAGAATCAGATAGCAAAATTATTGCATATTCTGATAATTATAAATTTATTTAAGCGGCATGACTGGCTTTATCCGGTCATGAGATATTTTGTCACCTGGGTACATATTAACTTATAATTTAAGATACTTTGCTTTCTTACATTCTTTAATATAGTAAATGTTATCTTAAAGAAACTATAAAACCTCTCTAAAATATAGTGAATCAGAGTTTTATGCAATATCTGCTTTGATCTACTATTAAATTATTCATATATAGCAAGAAGAAGTGATAAGAGTTCATCTGAACAAATGCACAAGACATTAATTAAGAATGTAAGTTTATAGAATTAGACACCAAAATAAATAATCATACAAATTTAGCTAATAAATTCTATTTAAATACAGGTCTTCATGACTGTATTTAAACGGAATTTAATTTATTATTTCAATTTATTCTCTTTACAATAACCAAGAATATTTGCACTTAACTTTTGAAACACATTTAAGCCAAACTTGTTTTTTACTTCTTCCCTTCCCCATGAGAATAAATTCCCACATTCATAATCAATATTATTGCCTTGCATCATTAGATTAAGAGGATATTAGTTATCAGATTTAGAATAGAAAATATTACTTACAATATTTGGCTGCTTTAATAGTTAAATAAAACTTACATAGCATTTAGAATTTTATAGCAGCCATTAGAGAATATACGTGAAATTACACTGCAAAATTCAGAACACATCATGCATTTTTCAATTTGAATTGAGAAATGTTCAAGAATGCATGAAATACACATTTAAAAATATAACAAAAAATTCTAATATTATTTTTATCATTAAAGTATGTGCATTATTCATGTTATATATTTTTTAAAGAAATGATGATTTTTCCTTTAAAAAAATTCAATATTTGTTTTATATAAAGATTTGTCAGTATTTCAGAATCTATTTAATAGAACATAGCTGAGGAATTGCGAGAATTACCAGCAAATTTTTTTCATTACAATTTCTTAGAAATAGATATACGAGTCTGATCTACAAATCTATTTAGATTTGAAGATCTAAGAAACTTCGCTTTACAAATATGCATCATTTTTATTTGCACTAATACAAAACATTTACCATTTATACTTCCTTAAACATTAATAGTGTACAGGACAGTAACAATGAAAAGGATGAAAATTGAATATTTTCAGTCTGATAAAAGAGAGAAATGGTAACATTATTTAAAAAGAATATTTATAAATAACTAACAATAAATGCAGAAAACTTACTTTGGATCAGGAAGAGAGAAAAGTGAAACTGGTGGTAAGTTATAGATAAATGTCAGAAATCCTGTTGTAGCCATAGAACTAAAAATTCCAAGAGCAATAAACAGTAATCCCATCTTAGGATGTCTATAAAATAAACAGATTTCATAAAGATAAGTGATTTTCCCCTCCACATAACAAGCAGACAAAAAAAAAAAAAAAAACTTAAATAGCTGCTTACCTGTATAAAGCTAAAATGATAACTGGAGATATTACATAAAATTGCATATCACAGGATAAAAACCAGCCATGTGGAACACACTAAAAGAAAGAGAATGGATTTATCATCCTAATATAAATATTTTAACTTTGAAATTTAAAAAAGAAACAGTAACTTATGAATTTTTTCTGCAAAGATTACATTTTTAATGGCAGTCATGTCAGTTAAATTATGTGAAAGGCCAAGTATGATAGCTGGGTGCTTCTGAATATAAGCCAACTCAAGTATAAGGCAAAAAGTAAGATTTTGGTCCAGAAATCCAGTCAGAATTGAACACCCATATATAAGCTGAATATAAAACTGCCCTATAAATAAATCATCTCTATAACCATCCCCAATAATTGTTTAACTCAGTTAGACCAATTAGATGAGCTGAAGGTGAGTACCAAGTACTTTATTTATTCAAGAAACAGGCTTGAAGTCAGAAACACTGATCATTGAAAAAAAAAAAAAAAAAAAAAAATCATTAAAAATGCTATGGACAGAACTGAAAATGATATTATCCATGAGGCTATTAACAGCATTGCTAATGGTGAAATGGATGGTGCTGACACTCAACCAGATTATCTGTTAGCAGAGAAAGACCCTAGAAAACTCTAAATTAGATACTTATGTTGGAAAATTTGATTAATGTACATAAGAATAGCTTTATTTTAATTAATTCTAATTCATTAATCATTAATCAAATTCATTAATTATCAATCATTATTCATTAATCAAATTAATAAAATGATCATTTTTGAATTATTTAGTTTGTAATACCAGATTTGATACTTAATTATCTGTCATTTTGAATTCACTGGAAGCCAGCTTAAAAGGAAAGTCAAATTAAGTAGATACTGTTTTAAATAACATTAAAAAGCACATAAAGAATAATAAAATGGTAATAAATAAAATTAAATTAAATAGCATTTCAGTTTAATCATTTTAAAGATATTTTGCACACCATTAGTGATAATAATCAAACAGAATGAAAACCAACTAGCATAACAGCACTGTCATTTGAACTTTTTGCTTTATAACACTAACTGGTATTCCACAGAGGATTTTTTAAAAGGTTAAAAAAAAAAAATGCATACTGTAATGGAAGTTGGCATAAAATTTGAAAAATAGAACAAATTTGTCCACCAGTAATTCTGACAACCCGAAACAAAAGGTTCTAAAGTCTCATTCCAAATAGGTCCACTACCAGCTAATGGCCCTAGCAAGATTACACCAGAAATCATCAGAAAAGCTGGAGTCAATCTGTTAAGAAAAAAAGAAATACCACGAGATTATATAAGTAACTATTAAAAAATTGTTTCTAACATTATTTATTAAAAATTTTCAATAAATATTCGGTAGTCAAGACATACAATAACTCAGACATACAATATTTGACACAAAAGTCTGATGTAATATAGCAATATAAATATTTAAGAGAGTGATTTGAAATTATGTGCTGTAGCATCTTTATTTTCTGAAATCTATTCTAGATATAAACTAAAAAAATATTATTACCTCTTACTTGAAATTAATTATAAAGCTGAATTAAATTAATTTTATATATGACAGATGATGACATTGATAGTTATTCCTAAGGATGGTTTGGTTTATTTGACTAACAAAAAACAAACCACTCAACGGCTATCTGCCTGTGGGGAGGGATACCTTTGTGGAGGGCTTTCTATGGGAAACTGGCATGAATGCACTTTACACATAAAACCACAAATACACCCATGCAGCCAGCCCATTCACTGGGATTCAAACCCTGGACCAAACTACCAGTGTCCATTGACTTTTACCTCTTGGCTGTTGGTGGGTCTGTTCCTTAACAAGAATTAATTAATCTTGATTCCAGTAGGTGGCAGAAAAATCAGTCTGTTATGAATATTTTTTAGGTTTCAACTGAATGTACAAAAGTGGATAAGCCTTTAGCATTGATTCTCTACATTTACTAGGGATAGGTTTCTTTTCAAATATCAACTCCTAGACAGTGAAAGCAAACAGCTGACTCCTGCTTCTTGTTTTAGGTTTTGCTTGGACTGTCAATTTCAAAATATATCAATGGAAACAAAAAAAAAAAAAAAAAAAAAAAAAAAAAAAAAAAAAAAAAAAAGAAAGAAAAGAAAAGAGCTTATGTGCTATATATGTTAAGTTATATAGCACAGAGCTTTTTATGAAAAAAAAGATGAAATCATCTATTTATTGTTTGTGAGAAGATGTACAATAAACAATCCATGGTAAAAAGATGAAGAGGCATTTTACAGAAAAGTATTATCATATTTCTCATGTCAGATAGAAAGAAAGGGGAAAGCAGCTTTGCAGAAGGTTAGAAGAGTGTAAACATCGATATTTTTCTTTAAACGTTTTTTAAAATAGCAGAAATAAAAGCCTCAAAATATAAACTTCACACTCTTGGAAAGGAAAACATTGGCTCTGCATGTTATTACAGCTGAAACAATATTTGGAAAAGAAATCAAGTTTGGAATGATGATCTCTGCAACAATACAATCAATCAAAGAGATATCTGAAACATCATCTAATGTAGTAAATAAAGAAATCATGGAAAAATAAAATGTGGCGGTTATATGTTTATGTGGTAAGTTACTTAGCACATAGCTTTTTATGAAAGAAAAATGATGAAATCATCTATTTATTGTTTGTGAGAACATGTACAATAAATTCATGGTAAAAAGCTGAAGAGGCATTTTACAGAAAACTCTTTTGGCAAATCACAGATTAATTACATCATATTTTTCATGTCAGGTAGAAAGAAAGGCAAAAGCAGCTTTGCAGATGGTTAGCAGAGTCTATAAGCTGATACTTTTCTTTAAACATTTTTTAAAATAGCAGAAATAAGAGTACCAAAATATAAATTTCACACTCTTGGAAAGGAAAATGTTGGCTCTGCATGTTATTACAGCTGAAACAATATTTGAAAAAAAAAAGTTAAAATCAAGTTTCATATGATGATCTCTGTAACAATACAATCAATCAAAGAGATATCTGAAACATCATCTAATGTAGTAAATAAACTAATCGCTGAAAAATAAAACATCATAGAAAATTTGCTTTGCAAGTAGATGAGAGTATTGTTACTAAAAACAAATCATAGCTCTTTGGATTTATCAGATATACAGAGGATAAAGATATTATTGAGTGACATCCATTCTGTAAAGTGATGAAGAAAACAACATTTTTGTTTTTATATTTCCTGTTTCATAGTCCATTTCATAGTCATAGAAAGACTGCTACAGAATGTATATGGATGATGTACTATTGCTGCCAAGAAACATACAGAGTTTATCACTAGAGGTCTCAGAAAAAAATTTATTCATTATAATAACTTGCCTCCCCCTTTTTTGGCACAGCACAAACAGGCATTAGTTAAAGTTAGTAAAAATAATAAACCATATCACGTCATTAGATTGTTTGGAGCATGAAATTGAAATAAACCATCTATAACCTCACTGGGATTTGAACTTTATACATGCTCTATAGACCATGAAGACACATGGCTAAGGAAGGAAAATGTTCTTTCTCCTTAACTTAAAAGACAATTAGTGGAAGGGGAGAACTCAGTTGCCAAATTCACGTGGTGATGAATTATCATCCACGATATTTTAGTTTGGGTGCCAACTGTAGAGTTATTAAGTTTCTTGAAACATTAGAATGCAATAAATAATGCCCTTGCTGAAATTCGAATTCTGAGCCTTCTGATAACTAGTTGGACATGCTTCCAATTACAGCACGACGCATGTGGTAAGAAATGAGAAAATTTCTAACATTCCTTTTTTAGTCGTCAGCATTTTTTCTAGATTTGCATTTGAAAAAAAAAGAGATATAAAATCCAGAAGATTTAAGGATTTAATAAACATTAGACTATGTGAAAAAAATTGGGAGTCTCATGGCATTTTTGGCAGGGTTGGATAACATGTACATTTTATGGCAAATAAAACATGAGAAATAATTTTTAAACAATCTCTAAATCATGATACACAATGTAATGTAATATATACATACTGTAATATTTTAGGCGATACATAATGTAATCATTTGACATGGATGAAAATTAGCAAACAACATCAATTTGTAATAGTTGCACGGCAGTTTTAATTGAATGAAAAAGCGAATATCATTAGAAACAATTTTTACTATAGTTAGCATATAAATTCTGAGGAGAAGGAAATAAATGATGTTAGAAAAGTCAATACAAACAAACAATTTTACCTGCAATATCTTCGGATATAGAAACCAACAATAGTAAAACTTCCATCATTGCTTTCCAGATAGTGAAATGTTGAATATACAACAAGAAGGCCACTTTAAAAAAAGTTTTACTCTTAGTAATAGCAAACAATAATCTACTTCCGGAAAAAAATACACATTGATTTTTTTTTAAATAACAAAAATAATCAATTCTGCTCATAAATTACTGGAAATTAATATTACCAAAACCAGTTCAGAATTGAAAAGTGTATTTATATATGTTAACACGTTCACTATCAAAGTAGGAATACATAAATTCACCAGAAGTCACCCTAATTTAAGGAAAGAACTTCATAGATACTGATTCATCATTTTTCCTAAATTACATTTCCAACCATAACAGAAATTTTTTTTGTGTGTTGAAATTTCTACGTGTGTATCATCATCCAAATATTCAGAATTATCACTGTGAGGGAAATAGCATTTTAAATATTTTGCATGTTCTTTATCTTTTAATAACCTTTTGTACTCATATCTAATTTAATTAAGCATTTAAGAATTGAGGATCCCAATAAAATATTATTTATCCATTCATATGATGGGAAAATGTTGAAAAAATTAACATAAAAAAAAAAAAAACCACTTTACTGAAATACACTAAAAACACAGTATCGATTAAAGTGAAAACAAAGTGTACCTTATAATGCATTGCCATATGATTGGCTATTAGATGATAACACCACAACACACACCTGCATATCATTGGCAAAAGAACATTTTAATACATACAAACAGTGTTTATGAAAAATCACTGAAAACTTTGTACCTTCATTACCTTTGCTAATAAAGAAACATTTTAAATAAAACATTATACTTTTTACTTTGAAAAAAACTTTTAGCAAACTTACATGAACACTACATGAGCATACATTTACTAGTCAACAAAATTAGAGGATCACTCTTGTTAAATAATTTTATTTAAAGCACTTGAGTAAAATGTTAATGAATTGCCAAACAATCCCTCTGAAAAGACAGTTGCAGAAAGTGATCTGAAATGCAAATTAGAAAGAATCATACCAAAATTGATGATGTAAAAATCATATAAAATGGTGTCTCCTTTTAAACTGCTTCTTGTACCAATTCTCACAGGAGAAGTTGTTGTATTTGTCTCAAGGTAGCATGCTAATGAAATCAGTTTTCTAGAAAGTACCACAAGGTGAGCTATAAGAAAGTTGGAAGCTGAGCTAAGTCAATGGATCATGTCATCCATCTAAAATATAATTGCACATTTGCGAAGTCTGTTCCAAGAGGTGGGGATTTATGAAGACATCTTGGTCACTAACAGGATACTATTTCAGATAATGACAGTTATTTATCAAAAACACTCATTTGGAACCAGTGTCAAAATGACTCAAAGCTGCCAAGACAACTTTTAAAAGCAACTGAAAGGAGATTGTTAACACAAACAATTCACACACATGGATTGTATGAATGTAGGCTTGATGTTTTTTCTCCAACTAACACTTAATATTGCAGAGCTCCAAGAAACTTGACAAAATTACACGTGATTGGAGACTTACCAAGTAGAACCAAATTGTCTTCTCCACTGAGTTCAAATTTAGGAGACAGATAAATAATTCCTGACTTCTGATCTGGAGGAGCATGGCAGCAAATACAATTCAGTACATACTAAAGAAAGATTGCATTTTGCTCTAGATGGTGCATTTACTTGGGCAGGGTAAGTTTAGGTGGGCATACTGACCTGTATATTATTTGGAATGAGACCCTAGGTATAGGGATTTTGGAATGACACCCTAGATATAGGCATGACCTTCTTCACATTCAGCCATGATTTATGTTACTATCATTAGTAATTTACCTTTTTTTATGCATCAAAAGTCCGACTTCAGCAAGCTAACTGTGCAAGCCAGATGCTTATAAAAGAAACAAGTAAGAAGTGCATGGAGTGGCCAATGTGTTCCCTAGATCTGAATATGATAAAACTGTGCTTGGAACAAGTTAGGCAGATGTGATGTTGCTAGAACATATGCTCTACTAGAATTATGTTCTTAGAAAAATCTAGGGTAGTAATATGTAACATGATGCAGTCTACTAGTTCACTGCCTTATAGTGAAATGTCATACAGCAAATTCAGTCAAAAAGATGCTGAAAAAGCTTTTTGGGAACATAAATCAACCACTAGGGTCTCCATTTCCTTCTAGTCTAGACTATTTCTGTGCAGGTACTTAAACTGTGCTTGTAAGAACTGCAACTGAAAATTAACATCCCTGCTGCCATTCAGAATATAGGTATGGAAAAAACTTCTTAATCTCATTAGAAATATGGTAAAAGATGTAGACAAATGCACTCGATTAGAGTGATGTTGCTTCCAACGTATGCTATACATATGGCATGTCTCATAAATATGAATACTAGAAAGAGTTCACCTTTAAATTGAACATCTAGTAGTGATCCTGAGAGCCACTCAAAACACTTGCATCTTGAATGAGTTGAAATATTGGAAATTGTTGTCTAGGAAGTCTTTTGGTACATATTTCACTCCTATGAGGCAGACTCAAGATTCAGACCCAACAACAATTACTTCTCAAGGGCATCATGAATTTAAGCATCACACTTCCCATCAATAGATGGTAACATGAGCAACCAACAGCAAAAGATCTAACATGCAGAAGCCAGCCCCACTCTCTTGGAACCACCAGAGTTAGGATCCCAGATATGATAAGAATATGCACCTTCCTACCTGGTAAAACAAATTATGAACTATCGCATTATTATGAACTATCCCATGAACCCTGAAAACTCAATCTACATTTTCTAAAGGGCTCAACTAGACCTATCCATGCACTGCAGCCACACAAACATACTCATAACATAAGCTCAAATAGCAACAACAAGCCTCTTTGTATTGCATTATAAATGCTGAAAGAGGGCATGTAGTGATCTTGAGAGCCACTCAAACCACTTGGACCTTGAATGAGTGGAAATATTGGAAACTGTCACATAGGAGCACTTTTGCAACAGTGGTATTTCATGCATACGAAGCAGACTCAAGATTGAGACCCAATAACAGTTACTTCCCAAGGACATCAGTGTGACGTTTCCCAGATGTACTAAGAGATGCTGATGCAAGCAATCAACATCAAAAAATCAAATGGCACTAGCAAGCACATCCTATCAAAACCATCATAATCTTCCAATATATATTTTCATCAACCAGTAATGGAAGATGAACCATGAACAGTATGAACAGTAAAATAGAAAACAGAAAAATAAGAAATTAATCCTGGAGGTGGGAGAAAGAAGAAAAAGAAACGAATTTGGTAATTATCTACATTTCCAAAAAAAAAAAAAAAAAAAAAAAAAAAAAAGAGTTGTTCCCCATTGCTGATTTCATAAATTAGTGAAAAAGTTTTAGTTATATTTATGGCTCACTGGTACCATTCTGTTTCTAAACACTTTGTGTAAAAAAAAAAAAAAAAAAAAAAGTTTTTAAATTACATATAAAAATTAGATTGAGACAAAGTCAAAGTTATTTTAAATTATGGACTGAGCTTTATAAATAATGCATACAATTTAAAATAAAAGACATTTTTGCGAGTATAACAATAGTGTATTATGCAAAGTATTGAGTTAATAAAGTACAAATTATGAATAAAATGACATCTACCTTAGAAAGAAGAATGTATCAGCAGCAAAACCAGAATTCAGCACAACTTGGAAAGCTAAATTTGCACCCAAATCACGAACTTTGTTCAAACCAGCTATTTAAAAATAAAAACAGTTAAATTATGTTTATCACAGAATTTTAGATGTGTTTTAAAGTTTTCTATATTACATCATAGGATTCAATATAATACCAAGGATTATAATGAAAAATATTTGCAGTTAATAATAATATTGGTACGTCCTGTTATAATCAACAGCCTTGGCTGGAAACAATTGATGCACTTCAGTTTTGGTGAGAAAGAGAGTTACAGATACACACAAAAAATTTATTCACTGCCTTATTCAATGCCTACAGCATACAGATTTATTTAATATATACATACTGAAAAAATGTAACATAAATTTTTATTTACTGCTTTATTTAATATATTTTTTTAAGTAATTTATTTTAAACAATATATAGAAACATTCCCAAAATTCATTTTAAACACCAACTTTCTCAAAGCCACAATTCAGGAAATGCTGCTAATAATATATCAAACCTATTATCATAACTGACATAATGACTATAGCGTCTTTTTCCATTGACGGAACATTGAAAATTGCAAGTTTATTAAATATTTAACAAAGAAAAACAATGAAAATTTTCACTAGCTCAATAAATATGAAATACATGCACATGGTGAAATGTAAACTCATGTGCAGCTTGTTAGTCATTTGTTTCTCACTGTGGTGGAAATGTGCCAAGGCTGCTTAAAAAGAGGGAAGAACAACAACAATTATGTCTCTTTTTTAACCCAAGAAATTCAATTTTTGAAAAGGTATATATTCAATCACAGTATCAATAATTTTGATAAAACAGAAACAAGAATTTTACTGGTTCTTAAATACATTTTACAAATTTTTATATTATTTATTCATGACAGCATTATACTAGTGCATAAGATATATTAAATCTCATAAACATTCTTCAAGTAAAATAGTCTGGATAAAGAAGTTTTTATATAAATTTACTAACTGATTCATAAAACAGTACACTGCCAAAGTCATTGATCACTTTTCTGGATTAAATGAACATGTCTATTGTCATTCAATTGTAAAAGTTTGTTGTCAGTTCAATTATGTAATCTGTTACTGCATACTTCCCCTATATGCATGCCTCCCCTATTTTAATCAACAGGGACAAAAAGGGTAAAGTTCTTTTAATATTCAGGGACAAAAAATTAAAACATTTAGATAAATTTATAATAAGATAATATATAATTGCTCTTTCTAACAAAAATATATTCCGTAAAGTTTTGATACATTGTGGATATGGAATCTACTGGGCTACAAATCAAGCCATGAAAATGTATTCTAAGGGAGATGCAATTTTTATGGTAATATACTTCAGCCCAGTTAAGCATAAAAATGAATTAATTTACCACTATTCACATTTAACTATCTGAAGGAAATTTTATGCCCTACATTTATTATGATTATACTGCTACCCATTAATTGCATATGAATATATTTTTAATAATTTTATCCATAAACTGCAAGTTGTCAAGACATGAATGGATAACAAAATGAGATTCCCTTTTATGAAAATAGTTATCCCTTTTTATGCGCAAAAGATTTTTCAAAATTCCCTGAAAAAAAGAGATACTTAACAGTACAGTAATGGGAAAGGAGGTACTTAGCATTCTGAAAATAACTTCTTAGAATAAAGACAATAATTTTAAGAAATATGAAGAACAGTAAGAAGAGTTGCATGCTACAAGTTATTCAAACTATACACTGATCGTCAGATTTTAAAAATGCTAAAAATATTAAACATTTAAATAGTAAATCTATTAGATCTGAAAAATTTATAATCCTTTCTTCAAAGTATAATTATAATTATTCCTCTGAAATTCTATAGGCCTTCAAAATGATAATTATAAGCCATGCTAATTTTAAGATAAGCACTTACTGGAAACAGAAATAATGGGGTGGAATTATAAAATAACAATTATTAATATTTTTGTCTAAGCAAAATAATAACAAAAAACTCTTAGTAAAAGAACAGCTTGATGAAACTCATCAATGCAAACTTTTTAAACTGGTAAAAATTTTCTTCCTAAAATTAAGACTTTTTAATGACTTAGCAATTCCAACTAATAAGATAAGCTTAATGGAGACATGAAGTTATCAATTGAATATAATTTACACATTTTCAAACTTTAATATAATACCTATGTTCTTCCAATAAAAAAAGAAAAGCAATAAAAAAAATTTTTTCTCTTAAATTGCTGGAAAATAAATTAATTAAGAAAATATTCTTAATAAAGAGTAAAGAAATTCACTTAATATTAAATCAAACCTTTTAATATTATATCATCTAGTCTATCAATATGATGACATTATTTAAGTACTTAAAACAATAAAGTTATTCTTTATGTACATATAGCAGAAAATAAAATCCAATTTTTTTCTTTTTATTCAGTATTCATAAGCAGCTGAAAAAAAAGTAAAATTCTATTTTATTTCTCTTTCTATTATTATAAGCGGCGAAAAACGTACCCAAAGTCAAGTAATCTTTACAGTAGTAGACATGGCCTAACATTATCCAAGTTATGCTTAAAAATTTTATTCCATGTATAGACGAAATGTGATTTACTGGTATTGAAGTGTCCAGTATTTTACATGCATTTCCATAAGCAGAGAACAGATAACTGAAATGTCTTAATGCACCTGGAAAAAAAATAGACACGGCATGAATAAATTTTGAATTAAAAATGCGAAATGAAAATTTTAAATAAATTAAATTGATCATGTTTTAATAATAAAAAAGCAATTTTAATTTTTGTTTTCAATTCTTTAACTATTAATGAGATTATGCACATTTGACTACCGATTATTCAAATTTTAGTTTTTGTATTTTGAGTTTCTTTCACTTTCTTTCAAATAATTTTCTTTTTCAATTTTACACTTCCAATCCACACTTTACTTTCCAATATACATAAGAGAATGCTGATAATCTAGAATTATGTTTTTTTCATCTTAATTTCTTGTTTCTTTTAGAACATTAGAGAATAAATTATTGCACAGTAGGATTTTCTGACCAATAAAGAATTTTATAAATAAGTCAGGTGATAAATAATGTCTCTAGTTACCATATTCAAATTGGCAATTAATGATTTTGAAAAGTGCTTTAAGGTAACCTTTCAAAACGAATTAATATCCAGGGTCTTGTAGAAAAATTTTAATATTTCCCATTGCCTAATTCTCATTAACAAAACCTGACAGCACCATGAATTTGGTCTGGCAGAAATTATGATCATTTTGTGCACTAAGCAGAGACTTTGAGAAATTTGACACTGAAAACTGGTTTATTATCTAAGATACTGTTTACCTCGGCAAAACCATGGGCTTGGAAGTTAACAGTGAAGATGAGGAGGAGTAATTACAGGACTATAAAAATGGTACAACAACTTCAACTATAAGAATGAGGACAATTTGACAAGCAATTGAATATTATGGAGAATTGTCTTTAGAGGAAGAAGAACTAAGAGAAGATAAACCTAGTTCTTCAATCTGTGCAATTTGTACAAAATGGCATAAAGTGAAAACGTTTTATCTCATGTTAATCAACTGAAAAAGCAGCAAAAAGCTACATTATAAGTAGTTTAAGTGAGAATGCCATATCTCAATTATTAGAAACATTTCAAAAAGTAGAGAATAACAAATGCAATTGGACAAACTTTAAGTTCCGTGAAAGCTTATTATGTCTCAAGAAGAGTCAAATACCACTAAAAGGAGGAAAATATATATACTATATTCTTTTGTTTTGAACACTGATTTAATTCAGTTAACCGAATGAAATTATTCCATAGATTATACTGCTTAGAAAATATTTGCATTATATATATATTGGAAAAATTTTTAATAGTATTTTTCTTTTAGTTTTAATATGGTTTATTCTTCTTTCCTATATTTTTTTAATTGCCTTTGGATTAATCATAGTTCTGAGTTAGTCATGGACATCATCCAGTGGCGTAGCTAGGGTGGGGCAAGGGGGTACATCTGTCCCTGGGTGCAGCATCCAAGGGGCGCCAAATTGATGCTACGAAATTTTTAAATGAAATGTTTTCCACTCTTTGCACACAGAAAGGGGTGCATGGACAACTTTAGTTGTCCCAGGGCGCTGGAAACTCTAGTTATGCCTTGCCATCATCCCATATTACAGTTTACATGTTCTAAATTTTAAAGTACAATCAGTTCTGATTGTACTTAAAAATTTAGAATATGTAAATTATACATAGAACAATATTGTAACTTTAAACCTTTCCTGCTTTCCTTTCTGGATTATTTTTATTTCAATATACTTTTTTACTCAAAGAAGGGGGAAAAAAGAGGGAGAGGGGAGAAAATAATTCCAAAATAAGTTAAATATGACTTCAAAATAATTGGGTCAATAAACTAAATTACAAAATTCAGCATTTATAGATTTATGCAAAATAAATTAAAATAATTCTTATAAATATTTTAAGCTCCTTGTAGAAATTGGCTTTAGTAAACAAATTTTGTGATAAACACTACTTAAGGAAATAAATTAATAAAAGATAAGTAACAAGACTAACTTTTCCTTCTAACTATATCCTCGAAATCCATTTCATGTTCTGCTTTAAGGCGGATAAGAATGTCAGTGATTGTTGCCAAAATAACTATACCAAATGTGATAAACACTCCACACCTGCAAAGGAAAACTCTAAATTAAGATTTGTACTCATTTTAAGGTATTGGTATATATTACAGGAACATTTGTTAAAGAGACATACATTTGTTTATCAAAAACAGAAATTTTGAGTGTAAAACATTTACTGAATTTTATGTAAAATGCAATTCTGTATAAAAATGAATTATTACATTATTAAAAAACCATCATAAAATAAATGAAAAACAATTTTAAAAAAAAAACTTCTTTTCTAGTCTGATACAAATTCAAAATACAATGAGTATTTAAGAAACAAATAAAAAATAAATAAATTTAATTCCCTATGAAAAAGGTGGGTAATAAATAAAATAAAAGAGCTTTAATAGTAAAAGCAAAATAAACACCAAATTTACAGATTACCTCACTAAACCAATTAAATTCACTAACCATATGAAAGTAAATCATGAAAGTTAACCATTATTTGCATATAGGAATACTTGTTCTAACTACTGCACATAAAAAAGAGTCTTTTCTTGTGGAAATTATGTACAAAGACTATAAAGGAATAAAAGAAGAGACCACATTATGCACCCAACTGTAACAAGAATCACCAGGCGAAACCCTATGTCATTAAAGTAAACACCCCAGAATTTTACGAAAATGCCCTTTATCTAGCAACCTATTAAATGTACACGATTTTGGAATTTGAGGCAAAGAATTTATAAGATTCCTGCACATTTTTTAGGGCTATGTTTGTGTTTTCTGCTTGTAATTAGTGTCTTTTTACCCCCCTTACAACAAATCATAATGCAACTGTGAAGTTGGCCTGCTAACGAAAAAGAAAAGTGAAACACTTTTTTTTAGAAATTGGCATTTTGCTTAGTAGTTGATTGTGGAAATTCATATCCCATGAAGTGGTATTTTACAAACAATCGAACTGCCCGATTACCTTGTAAAATTCATTTGGAGAAAATGTCTGGAAGGGAAACTGAAAGACTGAAAGACATTTTAAAAGCAGAAACTAAATAGTAACCACTGGCTATTAAAATGCAAATATTGTCCAAATTCGTTTTCATCCTTATTGTTAAAATAATAAAATGCATACAAGATGATACATTTGGCTAGCTTTTACTCATCTTCGATGTTACATTATTATAGAAATCTTGCAGTTCAAAGTAGTTTATGAACTGTTCTTAGGTGATAATGCTAATAGTTTTCTCCAAACAAGTACAATTCTCTGATGTTTTTCTAAAGATAAATCAGGTCATGAACAAGGAGAGCAGAGCCAGTTTGTTCTGCAATGCTCAGAATTCTACAATTCTTTGATTTTTTTTAAAAATTAAAACAGATCACTGTGCACATGGACAGAAGAACAAGAAAATAGAAAGTGTACACCCATGATAGAATTATCATGGGTATCATCATCATTATGTATGTTTCTTGCATTTTTAATTTTGTTAATTTGTTGCTGTCTTATAAAATTTTCAGAATAATTTTTCAAAATGGCTACTAAAAAGTTTTCCCATGTTAGGTCAGCATGAAATTAGTCGCCAATGATTAGTGAATTTGTGGGATGAATAATGTGATAATACCAAAGAAAAAATAATTAAACACATGCTTGTAATCAAGGAAAATCTTCAGATATATTCTATGCTATTTAGAAATGAATCAGTACAGATTTAACATTGTAACTAGTTTGTAAACTTGGGATCATATATTAACTGCAGAAGCAACACTAAAAGCAGAAGTTGAAGATAAATAATAGTGATAATAAATGTTCTCGTAGTTTACAAAAGACCTTCAATTAGATAAGAAGGAATCAAGAGAAAGATTAGTGTAATAAAACTGTTTGTAAAAAGTGTCTTAGCATATAATCTGAAGTCTTAGTCTCCTGTAAACAAACCAAAATATTCTAAGCATCTTCAGAAGAAAACTTTTTAAAAGCATGTGAAAGGCAGAATGTGGTTTAAGCCAGAATATGGTTTAAAGTTATATTTTGAATTAAATTAAATGTTTAAAAATCCTTATTTGTTTATATTTATTAAAATCAGCAATATGAAGAAGACTAGACATATAATTCCAAGGTAAGACCACTAAGTTATCAAGGAAAATATTCTTTGATCCACCTGAAGGGAATAAAAGACCACAGGTGAAATGGTAGTAAGGTGATGAAGAGAAGAACAGTAGAATCTTGACAGCAAAAAAATGTCATTATACACTGGTAAACTAGAGCAAGCTTCAGTGAAGATCCAAGGTTCATATTGGGTAATGAGTTAATGATTATAATGAATTAAGTGCATACAGAATTAATTAATTTTTTTACTTAACCAACACTTGCAACTTAATGTATTTGACAGACACTTGCAACTAATGTAGTTGCAGCAATGGCTAAATCCTTCAGTTATTAAGGTATCTCATCACCAGTAACACTGCCCAATGACTGATATTATGCCTGCAGGAAGGGAGAAGGAACATTTAAACAACCAAGCCTTATGCAGGATTCAAACCTACATCCTGGAGTTCCGACTAGCAGTCAATTTCTACTAACCACTATACCATACCATACAGGCTGACATATACAGCCATTATAACAGGTTTTCCTCTAAAATTTAACTTCCTTTACTTTCCACAATTAAACATTATAAACTTCTCAGCAACTTAAATATAATAACTAAATAATTTATAGTATGCAATACAAAATACAATGAAGTAATAATAGAATTACAAAAGATAATTCATCATGTTCATTAATTGAAAAAAAATAAAATAAAGAAATATATATAAGAAACAAACATTTTAACTATTCAGAAAGGTAGTGGTGGTTTTTAAAAGAAAATTTTAGTTGAGGAGGGGGACTCCACTCTGTATAAGAAATTTACAACAGAAGTAAGCTGTCATAATAGATATTATTCCAATGGTGTTTCCAAAATAATTTATTAACTAAGAATTATGATGAAGTGTAAAAAGAGTTTAGTTAGTATAGTTATTTATTATGACATACAAGTATACAATTCAGTAACATCTAAATTACACACAAACGGGCTGGCTGCATGGGTGTTTTCGTGGTTTTCCCCCCGTGTAACATGTATACGAGCCAGTTTCCCTTAGAAAGTTCCTCCACGAAGGCATCCCTCCCTTCAGGCAGATAGCTCTCGTGTGCTTTGCCATAACTAAATAATCCAATCCAATCCAATCTAAATTACACTATTTATTATTTATGGGCAGTTAACACTTCTAAAGAAAATAGTGAAATAATAGTTATATATTTATCAAAAGAAGGATAAACAGGTCACTAACAGGTGGAGAGGGAGTTATGGTTGGATAAAATTATATCAGTTATGAGACGGCTAAAATACTTTCTGGAAGAAAGGCAGATTACAAAAATCTCATTTGCCTTTTATTAATAGAGAGGTAAATTCTGTCTTTTGGTTACAGTTCAAACTATGAATATTTTATTAATTGGAAGACCTTAATATGAAAAATTTTTCTTTTCACCTTTCTGATAACTGTTGACATTAATATTTTCCAAGTCAAGAACACTGAAAGTAACTTCAATTTTGTCCTAATGTCCACTTGGACTTGTCCTAATGAACTTGGATATAGTTAAAAGATTATTTATACCCAGGAGTCCCTTTGTAAAATCTGTCTCTAAACTGAACTAAACTGTCCCTTATTCTTTTTGGCTTTGTTTATGTTCAGTTAAACATATTATAGGTAACCTAAATTTAAACATAGGCTGAAAAATGTTTACTTCTAAGAGAATTTAATCCTAATTTTATATAGACTATTTTGAAAAATCATTGCTCAACATTAGAACATATGGGACCACCAGCGGCCAAGCGGTAAAAGCCGCTGAACACTGGTAGTTCGGTACGGGGTTTCATAATAAATTGTATACAAATTTCTCTGAAATATGTGTCACATGTATATGAAATATGCATATTATATATATTTTAAAGATATATGTATGCATGTGTGCACATATATACATGCACAATTATTTACATTTTCTCTTTTGTAAAACATTTAATAACAATTTAATATTTTATGTGGTTCCTTTGTTACAATTTTTATAGCTTACCTCTATCCATCTGCACAAAAAAGACCAAGCACTGCTCTTTTTTTTTCAACCACACAAAAGAAATTATCGTAACTTCTGGGACCATAGAAATAGTTTAGATTTACTTCCCGCATAAGGGATCAGAATTAAAAAACTAATTATCTTCTATCAAATGACTGCAACATATATTTAAAAATTTTACTTAAACAGAAATTTTTCAGTTCTCCCATTATTCCTTTCACCACTATTTAAATACAATAGTATATACATATACATACAGTGACAATTCAATAATGAGACTGCATATTTAAAAAATCCTTTAAAGACATATCAAAACTACATAGCATTTTAAAAAGTCATTCATCACCTAAACAAACAAATGATTTTTTTTTAATACTGAGAACTAAGCAGACAATTTTTTATGTAGCTATTTAAATCTTTCAATTGAAAAGCTTTATACCAAATAAACCAAAGAAAACATCTTCACACCAGTCCCTGACACACACAAAAATTTTTGGACTGAAAATATAATCAAATATTTTCCTCTTTGTTATGTAATTCAAAGGTGACTAGTGATACTTTCTCTTACAAAATTAAAACTGTCTCTCAAAGAAAACTAAAATTGGCCCTTTTTCTCCTAACATTGAGGAGATTCAAAGTGTGAGGTCAGTTCTTAATGCAAAACATAAACAGCCATCTGCAAGCCTCTTCTTAACTATTCAATCATAACATTTACTGAACTAACAATGGAAGATTACATTTTGAATAAAATATTAGTGTAAGTTTTCTGATAAAAAATACCAACTTATTAATTATTTATTATTAATATTTTAATTATTATATATATATATATATATTGTGTATCTTAATAATATTTATTAATATATGAATAAATATAAATAATAGCAGAAAATCATCAATCAGCATTAAATTCAGTACAAACAAAATAAAATAAACAAAATGAATGCACCTATTGTATGCATTAAATTGTAGCTCTTACATGAAAATCAGATATGGTTTATCCATGGGTAATATGATGGCGCTAATTAAATCAAAATCAAATTAAAATAGATGCTGTAAAATTTCAGGGAAATTCTTGAGAATATGCTTAAGACTTAATAGGGCTTATTCAATTTAAAATTATATGCTTTGGGCAAGTGAATAATCTCTATAAACTATTAACACTTTTCAGTTTCAATTTATCTTGATATTTTCTCTTTTGTGAGTCATATTATAATAAGAATATACAAAGAATAATTTAGATTAAAATCCATGCTCTAATGAAATATTTCAATTAAATATGTCAATAATTGAAACTGAATTTTGATCAGTTATAATGAATTGAAATTAATTTGACAGCAGTCAAAATTACATATTTTTAAACCAATAAATCACTGAAACAACAATGGTTAAACCAAATTAAAATATTATAGACATAATTCATGAAACTTCTTAAAAAGATTTAATTGTATATACACCATTAGAATACCATGCTACTTTTATACATAACAGCGCATTAAATCACAGCAGAAACAAGAAAATCAAGAAGCAAAATAAGAAATAATGAACTCTTACATGCTGATTATTTGTCCTTTTGTGAGACTGGGTTTTTCGGATGTTTCACAATGTCCAACAGATATTTTCATCTTGAGATGATCAGCCACTAAATTTTTTAGATATTTATAATTAATACAACACTGATATATCATACATAAAGCATAATCTCAAGTTTCTAAAAAGTGTTACTCACATGTTTCAGTAACATTATTAAGATCTGACATACTGCATGTTGATGGCATGCATATGCCAATTCTGTGTTTTAATATGTAATAATAAGCCATTGTATCTTCTTCAATATTCATTTCCTAAGGTAACATAAAAGAATACCAGTAAGAAGAAAACTTACATTTCAGATACAGAAATACTAAATTCAGAGTGTTATAGAAAATAACAAATTTTACAATGAATTCTAAGCCTTGGATTAGTATAATTTTAATTGGTCATATTTTCAAATATGCAATAGATTGTTCAAATACTTTTATCACAGTCAACAGCTAACACATATATTAAAACTGAAGGCACAAACTGAGAAAAAAACTGAAAATAATATGTTCATATAAAATATTCACTGAAGATATAATGCACAATAAATTTTGAGGAATAGGTATGCTACACCTACAATTTCAAGAACAATAATTTCATAAAAAATAATATTTACAATTCAAATACAGGAATCTTAATTAACAATATTTACCATAGTTATACATAATATGATCACCCTGAATTTTTTTAAGCATTTTGTAATATATAGTTTCTTACATTCTACTAACCCATTTATTTTATTCTATTAACCTATCATTCCATCTCTATTTTAATGTTAAATACTAACAAATGATGTATAAATATTTGCTTATTTTTTCTATTATGTTAAAAATTTATGTAAATAATTAGTACTAAATAATTTCAACATAAACTGTTTAAATTAAATTGTTTTTCAGTTTTTAGACTGCATTTTTTAGGAAATTAAAAACTGTGATTTTATGAAATATTTATTTGAATATGAAAGTCAACATAACTTTCATTTTTCAAATATATTTCAGAAACATTTTAATATTTTCTTTGTACATTCACGTAGATTAAAAAAAATCATGTGAATATAGAAAGAAAATATTGTTACATTTGAGAAAATAAGGGAAAAAAGAATTAATAATGATAAATCTTAAAAAAAAAAAAAAAAAGTGAAGTCACTACTAAAATTGACTAAGTAACAATTACTTAATAAAAAAATTAATACATTTAAAATAAATCATATGCTATTATATAATAAACTTTTGTGGTAAAAGTATTTTACATTTTCATTAATCTCTAAAAATGACTGAGGTATTGAGATTTCAGCTATAGTTTATTTAGTTTATGCATAAATCTTATTATTAGTTAAAACTGAAACTCATATTGCATTAAATATATGATGCAGTAAATCTTCTTCTTCTAAAGTTGAGTAAAAGTAAATGAACTAATTTAAGAAAAATGTACAATGTTTCCTGTTTTGTCATTTAATTACATAATTTGTATCAATTAGTATCATTGGCTTCACAACAGAATATTTAGAAACAACTTCAACAGAATTTACTGTTGAGAAATGTCTCTTGAATTCTTCAAAACAATTTTAAATTTCTCTACAATGAATACTTCTTTTGTATATATATGCTGTTTTGTTAATATTTCTAGTCATTATTATTTTGACCTTAAATTTATTATATGACCTTATATTCTTTCTTTTATATTTAATGTATCAAAGGCAAGATTTAATCAGGATCTGATTATTGGGATATGTCTAGACTCTGCTCATGTATTGGAAATGGTTATAACAAAGAATACTGTAATTAATTATTTTACTTTCAAAAACAGCTATAATTACTTACTGCACTTATTTAATATATGTATACAGTCAATCCCTGCTATAACAAATCTGGCTTATAATGAATCTCTGTATATAACGAATGCAGATTTGGGCTCTGCCCAATTTCTTATGCATTTAATGTTATTTTACATTGCTATAGGAATGAAAATTGGATATAACAAACTGTATAGGTATCTCTGATTGAAACTTTTTTGCGTTTTCCAGAATTTGTGCCAATTTAAGTGAAAAATGTACTAACCCTTAAAATCATACAAGTTTAGATTGTTAGACCCATATTCGTACTGAAAACACTTTTATGTTATTTTGATTTTATCTTCATTCCCACTTTTCTCTGTGTTCTAAACAAAGGCTCTCTAGTGTGAACCCAATTTTAGAAAAGTTAAAGGCAAATTCATTAATACTTTTTGTTATTCATTTTTAGAGTTTTTTTATTATTATTACTTAATTAATTATTCATACTTATAATGGGTAACTAAAGGGAAGCATCCAAATTATGATATTTATGCTAATTAACTTATCTATAAAATTATTAACATACGGTGAAACTGGAAAACAATTAACCAACAAATTTAATAACTTTACTTAATAATAATTGTAATGAAATCTTCATATGATTTTTTAAACTAGATTTATTGTTCCCTTTTTTGATATATGTGACATTCTTAATGAGATTTTTTCTTTGATTCATTGTTAAATCTTTACTTGTTTATGTGACATAATTATTTCTTCTTATTAGATGGGTTAGAAAAAAATCAAACATCCAATCCTTTGAAGTTTGTTTTAACAGGCATCGACTGCACTTTACTTCAACAAAGGAAGAGAGCTACATGCTTTGAAAGTACCGTATGTTCATGAATAGCATGCATAGTTTTTTTTTTTTAATAATTTTAAATCGAAAAATCGAGGAAGGCGGCTTATGTGAAACAAAGCTTTATAGGCCATGTAAACGCAAGTTAGTCGACATAGAAGTTTCTTTTTAAAGCTATGGTGTCCTCAGAAAATATAACGTTATATGATGCTACTGTACCCTTTCTAATAAATCCTGATGGGAAGAAGTGCCATGGTGTGGTAAGTTATCTGCCTTTGCTAGATTATCAGTAAATTTTAAAGGGTTACTCGGGTGTTTTAAATACATATTTAATGCATTGTTGTTGCCAACTAAAGCTACTGTTTGATGAATAAAATTTTATATAACATACTTAGATTAGCAGTTTTTTCTTTCTGCAGTGGAATTAAATTCTGCTAACCAATTTATTCCTGCCCATTAAAATGTTACTGGGCATGTGTTGCTACGTACTTAGGCAGGAGCTGAAAAAGTGCAGGGGGTAGCTCAGATTTCTTTCCCGGTAACTGTCAATCGGTATCATATTTCTTTGTTTCTTTATGCTCGTAATCTAGAAAAAAGATTTTTTCTGTAAATTAAGCTTTCAATGGGCTTGATGAAAGTATGCGTGTCATATTCGCGGACCTTTTTTTTCTTTTTTGGTGCCTCAAAAAATTGGGTCCCTGTATTATTCAGTGGTGCATGGTATTTGTGAACATACGCTAGTTATTTGTGGTTATGAGAAATATATACATTTAACTAAGGGGAGAGAGGGAAAAACACTTATAGAACAGTTAGTGATTTGCTTTAAATTTACTGTTAGCATTCCAATAATGTTATCTCTATAATGCTAAGGAATCATAGCACAGACAATGATAATACAATAATTGATGTTGTACAGATATTAGCATTAATTGCACTTTCAGTCCTTAATTAGCTGTGGACAACACCTCCTAATAGAAGAGGAATTGTCGCTGTGAGTGGGTTAGCTTTTTTCTATTTGACCTAAACAACAATTCAAACCTCAAGACATACCGATTTGGAATGGAGTGTTGCCCATACTGTTTATTTACTTTGGCAGAGCAGTGTAGAAGGGTGAAAGAATTAGATTCTAAAGAACATTTAACATAACAAACTCCACATTTCCTTAACTTTCTGATTTCAAGCAGCTTATTATTTTGCTTCATCTATTATTATTGATCTTGTCAAAATTACAGTTTTAGTAAATGATAACACCTCTGTTTTACTGTTTCTCCCAAACTGTGGATTCATCAATCAGCCGATAGATATCGGAATTTTGCGCACACTGAAATGCAGATTATAAAGTAGCTTTTTTAAAAAAAACCTATGCAGTAGTAAGTAAGTAAGACCATCCAAAAATTCTAGAAATATTTTAATACGAAATCTAATATATGGGACATTGCAAGATGATTTAAAAATATTTAATATAATTTATAGCCAGCTATCAAACTTCATGATGATGATGAAAGCTGCAACTCTGAAGGTTTTTGGATGCGACAGGCAAAATTAATTTTTTTTTATTAATGAAATATGCAAATAAATGTTAAATGGAGATAATATAACTGAAGTCTTACACTGTGATGACAATGCCTCAATCATCAATCAGTTAACATAATGGCAGTTACTTCTAGTATGGTTTTAAAATAAAATATTGTCTTTTGTCGTCAAGCTATTTTAACTTCAATAAATTTAAAATATTACTTTGATGATTCAAAAAAAAGTTCTATTTATGCAAAATACCTTTCTTAATATTAATGAAAAATATTTTTTATTTTGAATTTCTTTAAATCATAACAGATTTAAACTGATAACGTAACATCTGGAAATTTCTGGAATTGTAGAAGTCCCATGAATTCCAGATCTTGAACTTTGTACTGTACACAGTCTAACCCTGTTATAATCAACTTCATAAGTCCAAAAGTTTGACTCAAGGTTTCAGTTTTGAAATTACTTCCAAAGGGGCGTTTTTTTAACATTTTGTGTGTTACCTTTATTTATTAAATATCATGTTCTTTGCACTTAAACCATAAGATTCAGTTCAAGAGCAATATAACAGAATAAATTTAAAATGAGCATATTTCTGAGCTCGCACGCTGGAGATAAAAATGTTTTTTCTGTACAACGTTGCCACAGCTCACTTTGAAATCCTTGAGTTTGTTAATCAAAAATTCGTTAAAATTTTACAAAATATGAAATCGATAATAAAAACAAATTCCAAATTTGGGCTTCCAAATGCCAATATTTGCAGGAGGATTACGTTATTAAAAATTTGATGGCTCTAGGTACTGTTGTTTTATCATAGTGCGAGAAAAATACATACATTTATGCAGATTCTTTCATTATTTAATTTCTTTAAATATAATACATGGAGATAACATTTGGTGGCAACAATTTGAAAAGTGAAACAATGCTTGTAGTGAATCAGCGCAAAATGCGAAAACGAAATTAATAGTCCTTCTGGGCAAATTGCCCCAAATTTGATGATGAAAAATATCCATTAGCATTGTCAAATCTACTAAAGGAAATTAATAATAAATCTATTTAGAAATCATATCAAGAGTTAACTGCAATATGTTTTTAAATTTCACCATACATTAATAATTTTACATAATAAAAATTTTAGCTTAAGAATCATTGTTCAGATTCTTCCCTCAAAATACATGTTTCTTTCTAAAATACACATTCATAATTCAGAATATCATTTCTATAACATAGTACATATAATCTCCTAAGATACGATTATTGTGTGTCTTGGTTTTCCAAAAAATGAGTGTCATGCATGTTTAGTTTACCCTTTGTTTATAGAAAATTTATCCTTTGTTTACAGAAAAACAGAATGGTGGGGGGGATTGAAAATAAAATTAGAAGATAATGAATGAATGTGATAATGTTGTTCACTACTTTAATAGAATAAATATTCAGAATATCATCTAAATAAAGATGGATTTTATAGGTTAGCAATTTCTCAGTTAAAACTTACAGAAATTCTGAAAATATGAAAAATGCACAAATAGCTTCAGTCAAAGATACCTCTACAGAGTTCAGTTTATTTAATTTTAACACATTTGGAGACATCCACTTTGGCTGTATAAAATAGCATTAATGGCCCAGGAAATTGGATAGAAACAAAAAATTCATCCCTTATATCTGAGGATTTATTACAGTTAGTTTTGACTGTATAAAAAAGAATTTTCTGGAATAATAATATAATTTCACAAACTATGCTGCTATTATAATATAATTTTGAATGAAAAAAGAGAAAAAAACTCTTGATATTATTTATAATAAATATGATTTATACATATTCATTTCTGACAAGTCTTTTAGGTTGATAGTATTTTGCAATATATGTGAAGACAAAAGTAAAATAATTCCACAGAGAAAATTAGTATTTTCTAATGAATTAATTTAAATCTTTTTTTTTTTTTTTTTTTTTTTCAGAACACTCAGATTTTACAGCTCGCTAACTATTCAAGTTAGAAGCAAAATCTGTATGCATGTTAGAGTTTACTAAAAGCATATCATCTAATAAATTGATATAAGTAAGGTTTAACAGGATGTTTTAAAAATAATTCCAAGGATATCAGGATAGCTTTTACAGTTGCCAAAAAATAGTAGAAACCAGTATTTTGACACAATTAATAGTATTCAATTTGATATTATTTTATATAGAAAAAGCTCATGTTTTATTTATTGCTATAAACCGTGAAAGTAACATTGCTGTACTTAAATACACATCTTTAAAATGTATGTTTATTATAAATTACTCTAAGTAGTCAATGAAAAAAAAAATTGCAATAAATTTCTTTTGTTTTAAACATTGAATAAATCTAATAAGAAAACAAAGCACAAAAAATGGTATTTCCTTGCATATGCTTTTTAGCATTATGTTCTGAAAATTTAAAAAAGATTCACATAATTTTCCCTTTCTTGTACTGTACAGTTTTTTCCTCCTGAGCGCTAGTTTACTTGTAAATTATATTCTCTTCATTATTTTTATTTATATGCATTATATTCACAATTTGTTTTTATATTTTTGTGCTAGCATTTCCTTATATTTATTATCTGAAACATATTTTATGTGGATTTTTGTTAAGCTCTACATGGCAGGTGCTCTAACACTTATGAAACTTTCCAAACATGTGTTTTCATCTTACTTCTTTTATTTATGTTCCAACTCATTGCAGCTTTATTTATTGCTGATGTATTCATCTTTCAAAATATGAGTCTTCTAATTATTTCCTTTCTAATTCATTCCTTTAATGTCTCTCTTTGGAACTGCAGTCAAGACTCATTCAAGTGAGGTGCTCCTGGAGCTTTACAAGGTAACTGAGCCGTACACCCATTCAGTTACTTTCAGATAAGGTAATGTTAATATTACTATATTATATTCTCATTGGAATGTAGGTGTCTTTTAAAGAAATAATATTGTGATAGTTACTATACTTTTCATTTGTTTTATTCCAACTTTACCCACATTCTTCAACAATTAAATTACTTACATAACTCTCCCCTTTCAATTTTTGGAAAATAAAATTAGTTAAAAAAGGAGTGAAAATGCATGAAGAAATGTGGTATATGAACACAATAGAAAAATGAGGGAAAAAACATACCTGAAAAACTTGTTTGAGTTTTGGATACTTTCTGAATGCATTATGAATGGTAAAATGTCTTTCATTCTGAGGCAAGTTTGGTTGAATATTGATTGAGCAATACTGACCAGTAAAGGGCATTTGTAAATTGGTCTTTGGAGTTTTAATTGCGATGCATTCATCATAGGATCCAAATGTAGAAAAAGTGCCAAATAAAATTCCCTCTGGAACTTTACTTGATGCATCCATCACTAAAAAAAGTACAAATTGATTAAATTCTTATATAAGAGAGTTCATGGTAAATTACTTATGCTGAAATGAACTTTTATTTTAAAAGCTTACAGCCATTTAAATTTCATTATAAAATTAATTTAGAAAAACACCATAAAAATTACAGCTGATTTATTACCTTTGAAAACAAAAACAATATAATTTGAAATTGAATTAATATGGTTTTCTTTAATAAAGAAAGCAACTCTTTTGAGATAAAAACTCCAGTGCTGTCATCAGCCTTAATGGATATCATTATCAAAGGTTTGATGTAGATGTAATTCCCATAATTATTAAGTTATAAAATTTGTAGATTAAAATGTAAACAAAATTATACACAGTGTTTCACATACATAAGAACTTCTCAACAAACGTTCCTCCAACATTCCTAGGAAACCCACCAGTGGCCGAGCGGTAAAGTCGCTGAACACTGGTAGTTCGGTCTGAGGTTCAAATCCCGCGAACGGGCTGGCTGCATGAGTGTTTTCGCAGTTTTCACCATGTGTAATGTGTATACGAGTCAGTTTTCCTTAGAAAGTCCTCCATGAAGTCATCCCTCCCCTTACGCAGATAGCTCTCGAGACCTTGGCGTAATTAAATAACCTAACCTAACCAACATTCCTAGTCCCTCCCATGTCCCAAAATTAGCCTCTCAATAGTTTCACCGCCTGTAATAATTCAAAGTGTCACCACTGCCAATAACGGAATTTTGGGCACACACCCCTTCTGAGTAAGACACAGAAGAAAACACTTTACCAACATCCCAATAGAAAGCATGTTAGTTAGTTAATGAATTTTCTGGCCTTTTATATTTTAATGTACATTTCACATTTTACTTTCTTATTATATATATTTGAATTTTTCAACTTTTATTTGATTTGTTTTTGCAAAGATAACATAGTATGTCTTATTTTTCTCATATTATTTAAATACTGAAGGCTATTCATAATTCAGTAAGATATACGTTTATTTTGTTATTTTTATAAAATAGTCTGAATTAACATGCATAAAAGCGAAGGTTTAGGGGAACATTTACGCAAGTTTTGTAAATTTCACTACAAATGGCTATTCACTCAAATTTTTAAAGAATCGTGTATAGCAAAAAGCTTCATTCAGAATGATTAATTATGGCAAAGCCACGAGGGCTATTGCTAAGAGGAGGGAGCTTCGTGGAGTACTTTCTAAGGAAACTCTATACACGTTCACATGGGGAAAACACGAAAACGCCCATGCAAGCCAGCCCGTTCGCGGATTCGAACTCGGGCCGAACTACCAGTGTTCAGCGACTTTACCGCTCGAGGAGGAACACAATTTGGCTAACTTTTGCCAGTTTGGCATCATCATTCTCACTTGAGTAAATACAAAAACCTTCGCATTTTAATTATGTTCAAGGAATTCCATTGAAAGTCAGCTAATTCCGATCAATAGTGATAATTACTTGTTTTTACTTTTTTTCAAAGTTTGAATTTTTTTTATTCATGATTTAAATTCAAGTTCTTAAAAGTTTTTATGCTTACATTCAAGTTCCTTTAAAACACAATTTTCGAATTAAACTTCCACATATAAGTTGCTCTTTTTTACCATTTACTAAATTATATTAGGAGATAATATAATCAATATTCTTTAGTAAATAATTTTATTTTATTATATTACAATTTTTTTAAATTTCTTTTATAGAAATTCATTCGATATATGAATTTAAGGGAAACCTCAAAAGCTTGTAGATCTTCAAAACAACAAATGTCTGGAAGGTTATATATTAATTTCTTGAGAATTAGCCAATAAGTAGTAATAAAAAAATGTTTTAATTTTGATTCAAAATAATTTTCCTTTTTAACTAATATGAAATCTTTAACAATATTTCTATGCCATATGTGAAATTTTATGAAAAATTGGGATTTGGACATTACTTTTAAAAATATAAATTGATATTTAAATTATGTTATGTTACAATGCATCCACATTGATATTGTAAAATTACTCAAAATTTTTTTTAAATAATTGAAATCTTAGATTTTCTCATGATAAATTTTCAGTGTCTGAATAATAATGGGAATAAATTGTACCAAAACTTTATCCATAGTTATGTTATTTTTAAACAAGAAATAGGAGAATAATTTGCTTATGGAAAAATTCAGTTGACTCAATTTTTTCAGACTACATGTTTTCTAAACTATTGCATTGATTCCAAAAAGTTTATGGTTTTCTAATGCCCTTTCATCTCACTAAAACTTTTTCCTATAGTTCATGCAAGTTCTAAAAGTTCACTGTATATATCTTCGCAGCTTTTATTCCATTTGTTCTCCATTTTATTAAAGTTGAAAGGGAATTTTTGTTCTGATATTATCATAAAACATTTGCATAAAGGTTACAAAAACTCAATGCTAAAAGAGATTTCAATTATTCTGCTCTTTAGCATCATATGATTAAACAGTTGTGATCTTCACTGAGAGTATGAAAAATGCTTTAAAATATCATCTGTACAATAAAGACAAGTAGTATATTCATTTGTAACTGCAAAGGGAAACAGGATGACTTTAAATAATGTAATACAATGTAAAAGATTTAAAATACAGTAAACAAAAAATATAGATGCAAAGTATTCACTTTTTATAACATTTTAAATTACAGATAATTAAAAAATATTAGATTTAAATACTAAGCAATGATTGACAGATATTTTACAAAATGCCTAAGAATTGAGATCTTGCTTTTGATCCACTTAAATGGACTCTTGAGACTTGGACATGAGCTATAGCTTCATATGTATTTTACTAAAAACTTTCACAGAATTGATTATATAATATTTATCCAAATAATTTCGAAACATACAATAGCCTATCTTCTTTGCCAGAAAGAAATTAGCTTTTTAACTCGAATATTTATACAAGGTGCACTCCTAAATTAAATGGACAAATAAAAAGCCAAAATGATAAAATAAAAATTGGAAGAATGTTTAGAAAGACATTCAATTCTTGTTAAAGAAAGTTTCAACTGATTATTTTGTCATTTGCATATTAAAATGCAAGAATCGTTTTAATTTACTCAGAAGACATTATGTTAAAAAAAAAAAAAATTGCTTTGACATGGAACGAGATTATAACATTGAATTTTGTTATAAATTAAGTAAATCTGCTACTGAAACACTGGAGATGGTTCAAACAGTATATGGTGATGCGTCATTGTCAAGAGCAGAAATGTATGAGTAGTACAACTGCTTTAAATGTAGGCATGAAAACATTGAAGATGAACCAAAGATAGGGTGCACTGTCAGCTTCCAAGAATGAGGGAAATATGAAGAAAATTCATTCTTTAGTAAAAGCTTACAAGCATGTAACAACTCAGCAACTTTCAGACATGCTTGGGATAAGTACAGAAGGCTGGAGTTTAATTTTACTTGTAACTGAAAATAAGGAAAGTTTGAGTTCCGTAAGTGCCTCAGATTTTAACAGAAGTGCAAAAAAAGAAGACAAAAAGTTTGCTGTGAAGACCTGCTGACCAAATAGGAAAACAATTCCTTAAAGTGTATCATAGAAGGAGATCAGACCTACTGTTTACAGTATGATCCAGACACAAAAAGCCAAAGTGCAGTAGTGGAAAAGACAGTCTTCTCCCATACAATAAAAAGCATGGATGGTGAAATTAAAGACCAAGGTGATGCTGATTGCATTTTTTTTTATTACAAAGTACTTATTCACCATGAATATGTCTCTGAAAATCAACCAATTACTCAGTATTTTTACAGGGTGTTTTTTTGATTAAGAAGCAGGATAAGGCAAGTAAGGAAATAGTATTTGATTCTTTCATACGATAATACTGGGCCTATACAGCACTGTCTGTATGATAATATCTTGCTAAGCATTCAGCTGCAGTGATAAATCCCCCTTCATATTCTTCTGACTTCCCAGCTGATTTTTTAAAATTTGTCTGCAGCTTAAGGTAGCCATGTCAGGATACACATTTGTAGATACACCTAAATATTCATATTTTAGATGTAGTAAAAAAATTTTTAGGATAAATAAATAAATTAAAGAGGATTTTGCAACTTTTAATTAATGTCATTATTTTTTAGCACAAAAAGTAGTCCTCTTATCTATGGTTCAAAAAAGAAGTTTGTATTATTCACAAATCTGAAAGCTTTTATTCATTGTACATACCACATGCCAGTGTCCAAATGGATAAGATTATGGGAAACACAAGTTCAAATCTCAGCTAACAGCTTGGTTGCATAGATGTTTTCCCCATAACGAAAGGGAATACCAGATACTTTCCATTAAAAAGTCATCCTACGAGTAATAGCTCTCATGGTTGCCATATTTAACTAAAAGCATAAAAATATAGTAACTACTCCTTCCTCAGATAGTAATTTTTTTTCAAATTTCTTTGTCTTACTCGCTATATTTAAATTATATCATAAATACCAATCTTGAAATATGCAAAATTAGGGGTTTCTGTGAGGATTTTATGCTGTGCGATGCCACCATTTCAAAAGACCCTTAAATTGCGATAACAAAAATATAGGCTTGATATTGGCAATGTGAAGAACATAGTCCAAATCCCATCTGTAGATGTTCTTTCCAACCTAAATCTGTATAAAAACTCTTCAATTCATAACAAAAGATGTAATAATTAATTCTATCTTATATTCTTTATTAAATACCACTTTAAAAAAAATTCTCTCATTTATTCAAGTTGAGGTTTTAATGCTATGACAAATGCATAATTTTTTAGCTTCATTACATATCTTTACATTTAATTCTCTCTCAATTCAATGAACAGTCTCTGTTGGTCCTGGATGTTTCGATACATACATGTCGGAATGTAGCTGAAATAGTCAGCTATTTTGCAAGATTATGTTTCAGAACAATGTTCTAATAATAGATGATATAACTTGAAATATATAACAGAAGGTAATTTAATTTAGATCGCATTATTTGAACACAGTATATTGATTTACCAACTGAGAAAATAAAACTGAAAA